ATATATATATATATATATATATATGTAAATCAACTAATTAGGCAACAACAGGAGAGACAATAAGAAGAAGTAAATAATGGCAACAAAACTCCATAATTGGAACGTAAATAACAAAATGTCCTACATACACCTAATCTTTGCACATCAAATTGCAGGAGTCGTTTAAAGCTTTCTAGTGATGATGCCCCAACTGTGCTTGGTGGCAACGAGTTCCAGTCTACAATAGTTCTTGGAGTTTTTGAATACCTAAAATCTTGGTTGATATTTGAAGGCATGACTGTTTCTTGTTCTTTTCTGGGATGGTATTAGGTACTTAGTGGTTGGTACGTCCACCGGTTTATTAGTCATTTTGTACATCATGCATAGACTGGACATTTTTCATCTGTCTTCCAGCGCCCCCCGAATTTTAAATTAAATCACACATAAAATTAATGTTTAGTTTTACAAAAAGTAAACAAAACAGTCCTAAGAAATTGTCTGTTTGGAAATAAAATCGTCTGCAGAAATATTACGTGACTCTGCCCTTCAGACCTCATCCTCCATTGAGTGAACTCAAGGTCACGATTTGTTCTTAACATTAATTGGATTACGAGTCACCAGACACCGTTTTCGGACTAGCGTCTAAGACATCTTGTTAAGGACCTGCCCTTGGAAGACGTCTACATTTCTTTCCGCTTGGAATTAAAACTAATTGGTCAAGTCCTCTAATATAACAACTGAGAGGAAAGGAAACCTTGCCGCAAAGCTTCTGTTTTCCTGCGTGTTTTCCAAACGCTAGACAAAATAAGACCTAAGAAAAAATGTTGTACTTCCTGTTTCCCGACCGACCCAAGAAAAAATTTGCCGACCCTAGCCTTTTTTTGTGTGGACCCCTGCAAGGGACGTACATTTTTCGAGCTGATCGACTTTTTCTAGCTCCCTGATCTGACACCTGAGTGATGAAATGTTGTACAATCGGTTTTCCAACATTGACATTTTCACGTTTAACTTTGTTACTAAACTGTATTGTAAAAGTAACAGTTGGATCACTAGAGATCAACATAAAAAATACCTACCTACCGACCCTACTTTTTTTCAAGACTGAAATCATAATTGAAATGCCACTGCTACTAATATCCAAGCAGCTCCCTTCGGTGGCAAGACAGTATCCATTGGCCAGAGGAGTGTCCATTTGCCACCGAAGGGATTTTGGATACTGCCTTGGCACCGAAGGGATCTGCTTGGAGATTAACTGTAACAGTTACGATCGTTGACAATTGTGAAAATGCCAGTTACAATCGTTGACTACAAAACATCCCACACCTCTGAGCTCATTACTGTACTCAGCCTATAGAAAGGACGTCCAGTCTGCTTTATCGTGTAGTTAATCGTGCTTGACCATTGCCAGGTTAGGAAGTCCATCGGGAAACAGATGCAGTCAATTTCCTTTCAGCCTGAGCTTTAACAGTCTTCAGGATATAATTAATTTTCACGTCCTTGCGGTCAAGTTCACAGGTCCAAGACATCTTGGCGCTGGCCTTAAAGGTGTCACTGGAAGTCTTCAAGACGTAATTGACTTAGCACTTTTGTGAGGTCAAGGTTACGATAGTGTGGAAAAAAACGCCTGCTCGAAAACTAGGGCCACACCGACTTAATTTTATGGATGACATCCGCGCGCGCATTGATTTTCGCCTGTTCTTAAAAAAAATGACGTCCACCGAGGCTCCAGCCTGGCACTAGGCCTGGGTAGTCCATGGAAGTTAGCGACAATACGGAGCCGATGGTAACTCTGGAGGACGGCACCTAGGCTGCCGAAGCTCCAAGACTCAAGAACTCAGTACATACACACAGTGCCGATTCATAAATTCCGCGAAAAGCCAGCATGTACGTCGCTGTGTACTGCCGCAAATTCACAATACCAGCTTTGTATTCCTGTATACGTAGTTTAGTAGCATTTTTATTTTTGGCCGGAATTTTTTTATTCGCCCGCGCGCACTAGTTTGGGGGTCTTCAGAGGATGCCATCCATAAAATTAAGACGGTGTGGCCCAATTGTTATAAAACACAGCTGTATAGAGGTGTGCGTTACCAAAAGATTTACTGTTTTGAGTTAATGACCTAACTTAACAAGAACATGGATCTGGAAGTAATGTTTTCTATACCTAATTACCCAGTAATACTAAACCGCTACTTAACTCATTCAGAACGAAAGAAACCCGAAACTTTTCTGAAAAACTATCAATTCTTTCATTTTTCCACATGAAGGCTCGGTTCAGCTCAGCTTATTGAAGTTATATCTTTATAAGATCTTGTTGGCGCCAAAAACTATCATATTTGGTATTTTTGTCGCTTTGTGTGTTATTTTAGACCATGTTCAAGATCTCTGGTGTATCGCTATTTCCGCACCCGGAGGTTCAGTTTATGCATCAAGGATTTGCCGGATAGAAAAAGACTCACGGGTCAAAACTACAGAGCAAAACCCTGTAACAAAATATTATAGACTAAGGACGCATAGGCGTCCCACTGAGACAGTAATACAGGCAGTTAAGGACCTTCATATTGACCTGGTACGAACTTCTTTGGTAAGGACGCGATAAATTCTCCGTCCAGCTCTATTGGCGGATGTGTTTCCGCCAATGAGATATAGGAGGTTAAGACGTAATCTTAAATTTCAAATAATTTTTTTAGCATTAGCATTTTTAATGTCTTGGGGTGGTGGGACTACGGCGCACAGATATGTCAACTTTGTGTATTTAAATGTTAGTTGTACTTGTTTGTTGTGTGGCGCTGTTAATATAAGTTATAAACTTGAGTGCAGCACCACACTGTCCTTGTTATGTTCTGATGTCTTGATGAATAAAAAACATTTCACAATCAAAAGTCGGCCACATGTAGAATACAATAAAAATATCGGCCGCATGGAGAAAAAAATAATTTCCAAGCAGACCCTAGCCTTTAGTGGCAAAATTGTCACCAATGGCCTGCTTGGAGATTAGAAAACAAAGGAAAAACTAAAAACTTGAAAGTAAAGACCTAAAAAAGCATAATTTTGTTTTTTTACAAAAGATGAATGAATAGAATTTTCCTTGCTTTTAACGCTTTTACACCTTTGGCTTGGCCTGGGTATACGTGGCCTGTATTACCTCGAGTAAAATAAAGTTGGACTTTTACTGTTGGACTTTTACTGTAGCAAACATAAAGAATCTAGTAAAACAAGATGTTACCTCATTCTAAAACGCACAAATCACTATTTCCTCGACACAACTTTGGAACGTTTGACCAATAAGATGTTCTTTTGTGTTGTTTGCAATTCAAGAAGACTTCTGATAATCTGGAGACAAAACAAAGAATTTTCTAACGTAATCGAAGCCACCCTGGACATTAGAACAGTATTAACTGGATACGTAGTACTGACATTTTAGGATTTGATGGGTTTATCTTACTTGGTGTTCCACTTTCATCTAGAATTATCCTTGAACTAGACGGGGTAGTACTGTGCACCCTTTGTTTTGGAAATAACTTTGTTCACACATGGAAAATTTTGGAAATATTATAACGGAAGTCAGATTATATCTTGGGGTTATGTGGAGAAATATAATAAGTTTTTAATAGGACTTTTTGGCCCTTTGCCTTTTTGTGTTTATAAAGAGAGTAAGAAGGGTGGGTGGTTTGGTTCAAAACTACATTTGCCAGTGAACATCTTTTGATGTTTTGCGACCAGGGAAATGTGGGAATGTATAGTTATATCAGTAATATAGTTATATCAGTAATACACGTCCGTATCTCACTGGACAGATTGTAACAATGTAAAAATCCACATTTCTAAAAATGAAACAAAAAGACATAACGTTCAGAGACCTCACGTTCCTTTGAATCAGATCTAATCTTATGGTATGGTGTGGACTAATGCATACAAGGCACAATTGCAGGATAAGGCAGTCCTTGCTAATATGCAGAGTGCAGTGATGAGCTTAAGGATAAAGAATGGATGTAGTCAACGATTGTAACTGTGGCATTTCCAGAATTGGGAACTTAAGTAACAGTGGCATTTTAATCTTATGAACTTCGAATTTAACTTGATCTTAACACATGGCTTCATTTTAAGGCACTAATATACTAGTAATTCGGCAAAGCCGGTTGGACCACTAAGTCCATTTTTGCCCAAGAAAATGGGCATTTTCACAATTGGGAACGTTTGTAACAGTGGTATTTTAATCTCTTTAGGGACTAAGAATTTAACTAGATTTTCACACATGGCTTCATTTTACGGCACCGACATAAGGCAGCAATGAGGGTTTGACCAATGAGTTCAAATATTTGCCCAAGAACTTCACCTAGGAGCTGTGCAAGTGTAAAGCGACGACTAGCGATATTGAGATGCACTTCAAATAGTCTCAACTCATTTTGCCCATTGTTGTAGTTAAACCCATACCCACCTTCAGTCTGCCTTGCATTATACTTTGGGTCAATCTCCATATTCCATTTCTCTTCCTGGTCAACCGGAAGTTCGTTCTTTTCATCCGCGTTCTCCAGATCATCAGATGGGACAGTTTGAAGCTCTGTTGGTTCTTTCTCTTCTTCTTTACTCATAGTCGACCACGTCAGACCAAGCAACTTTAATGTGTAAAGAAATTGAAGCATTGTAAGAAAATCTATCACCTACACAATGCCATGTACATTTTATTAATCAGACACTAACGTTGAAAAATTGCCAGTGGAAGTTTCTTTTCTGAATGATTCATCGATAAAATCTGATAATATTGTTACACTTTACCATTTAACGTTACCAATATGATAATACTCTTACGTTTACCATTTCTGAATGATTATGTTTACAGAAGGAAGACATCTTGTTTTTGCTCTGTTTCTTCTTCTTCTCCAAACCAATAAGGCCAGTGACCTGAACCAGACGTCTGTCACCATAGTAAGAGGTGTTGGGTTACATCATGTTGTAATTTTACAGCAGGATGGATTTAGACTCTTGTCACCATATATATGAATGTGTTTGAGTAAGAATTAACAGGGCAGACCATATGCGAAGATAAACATTATGCATTTGCTTTGCAAATGTGACTTTTCTAGTATTGTCACGTTTTACTATTTTACCATTTCTGGATGATTTATCGATAAAATCTGATAATATTGTTACCTTTTCGTCAGGTATGGGTTTAGTCAACAGGCTGACAACCACCGTTACTATGAAGGTCACCAGGAAGACGATGATGCCGCAGTGCAGGAAGTGAACCTTGGACAAGATGGCGGGTCGAAGGTCAGGTTCGCCACATCCGGGTTCTCCGTAGGCGAACTCCATGATGAGACGAACCAGTCCGACAGCGAGGCCGGCCATCAGGCCCCAGAACGTGCCCTGGGGAACACCGGTGTACAAGGTACTGAGCTTGAGAGTGTTCCGTAGAAATAGGTGTGAAAAATAGAATGGAGCTAACCTGGCCCAACGGCAACCTGCGCTAACTTTTCCCAAACTTACACTGTTAACTGTAAGATCACAAAGTATCTCATCACCCACTGTTTGGCACTGTTTGGCAACCAGTAAAAAAATCTATGTCTCTTACGCAAAGAACCATATTGTTTCTACTGATATGCCCTTGGCCATTCCCCGTGTCTATGCCATGAGACAGTGGCTTTATTCTTAGCCAACGGATCCGTAATAGCAGATGTAATATAGTGCACGTGTACCCTGTCCTTGGTGCTGAATTTGCCATCACATCAACAGAAACCATTACAAAATACACCTGCGCTTATGGTTTGGATGTGTATAAAACTAGAAAGGCCACATTTGCAAGCAAATACAGCAATTTTCACTCCATCCCCATGCAAAAGTAGATTGTCCCATATCATTTTTTTTTATTTACCACATTTGTGTAAGGATCGATTGACATAAATGACTTTTGCAAAAATGACCCATCCCAAAATTACCCCTACAAATGGACCATCAAAACATCATCTGTGGTATAGAGTGAAATATAAAACAATACATTTCCCTCCAGTACATTCAGCGAATGTAAAAAGGCAATATTTGCGAACAAATAGAGTATATTTCACTCCACCCCCATGCAAAATAGACTTCCATATCACCATTTTGCAGAATTACCCTCAAAATTACCTCTACCCACAAATGGACCATCCAAACCACCTGTGGCATGTCGTGAAATATAATAAGATATATTTCCCTCCAGTTCCTGTATTATGTAATGAAATATGAGAAAAGCTACCAAAATTCAACCCATGGGTTTGTAGATCCGTTTCCAGGTACTTCTACACACAGATGGATTATTCTATCACTTGTGATGTGGAGTGAAATACAAAAACAATATATTACCCTCCAATACATATGATATAGAGTGAAATATACTAAACGTTCCAAAAAATCAACCTACGGGTTCGTTGATCCGTTTCCAGGCGACTGCGAGGACGAAGGCACAGCAGATGGGCGGTCCGATGACGGCCTGGATGAGCTGCAGGTACTGGTACAGCTGCGCACCTTTAGCTCCCTGTAGGATCGGGATCCACACGATACTCACTCCCACCATCACCAGTACTAGCAGTCTGCGGGGATACAGGGTTTGCAGGTACATTTATTTATTTTATTCACATGGATTTTTGAGCATTGGATAGGAAGCACTTGTTGTGCTTATGTGAATCCGCTGCTCATAAAACATAATACAAATGTTAACATCAAGATGACATAAAGTATAACATAAACATAAAATAAAAGTGGCTGGCGCACCAATACCTATAGCATAACATTAATGAGATTGGTCAAATCTTCCAGAGTGGTGGATATAGTTAAACACAATATCAAAGATACGGCAGTTTGTAGGGTATGGGAGGGAGGGGCTGCAGGTACATTTATTATACAAGGAGACGTTTTTTTTTTGTCTATAATGTGCTAATTAACAATAGCCTGGGTTGTAACACTCCTGCTGAATTATTAGTTTACAGCAACTGAAAGGTTCTAGCTACAAGCAGAAGTCCTGTTGGTGGAAAGAAGATGTACTCTTGTTCTTGTCAGTGATCAGGCCGACCACGTTGAAGTTGTTAACATTATTTGTGTAGTTCAATTGAGCTCACTCATTTGAAGCACGTCCTTGCCCATGCATTCCCTTGTGTCTATGTCATGAGACAGTGGCTTTATTCTTATTCAATGGATACGTAATAGCAGATGTAAACAGTGCTCGTGTACCCTGTCCTTGGTGTTGAATTTGCCATCATAGCAGTATAAGTTATTACAAAATTCCTTGTGCTTTCTTTCAACATTTTCATTCATGTGTTGGATGTACATAAAGCTAGAAAGGCCACATTTGCGAGCAAATGCAACATATTTCACTCTACCCCCATGCAAAAATAGACTGTCCATATCAGGTCGTTCAGTGCAATGCAATCTGCGTGCCTGCGAAGCTGGTGTGTTACGCCGAAGGGCCGTTATACAGATACAGATACCGTACGCAGCAATATTATGTGCCCTCTAGTCAAATCAAAAAGTAATATAAAGTATGCTCCTCGGGGCCCATTACCCTTCACTCAGCCGCGACGGGAGACGACATCGTCTACAAGATACCTTTGACCCAGTAGTGACGTCACAGTTCAAAGAAGTTACGTGACAAGCATCACTGGGTCATTCTACTGAGGAAGACCATAGTGACTGGTCGAAAGATGTAGGTGAGATCTTTATAATTATTGTGTTGGATCTAAAGTTTGAACTTTAGACACGTATGCTTATATAGGGCCACACCAAGTAAATTTTATGGATGACGTCCGCGCGCGCATTGATTTTGGCTTGTTCCTAGAAAAAAACCCAAGAAATCCCGCTTCCTGTAACTATGACCAAAGAGTCACGACAGTGCCACAAATAGGTTTGTACGGACCAAAGCTTATGAAGCATCAAGCAAGGAAATCATGACTTCCTTTAGGAATTCAGTTTGGTACATGCTGCCACATTTGAAGAAACTTGGTGACCGCTCCATCTCTATCTCCCCAAAGCACAGGACGACAACTGCTGTTCCACCTGATTTATTGCTGTTTTGATGATGAATCAAAGACTTCTTGCTTGTTACATTGTGTCACCTCATTCAATTTGTGTCCTAACATTTGTCGTCTTTTAGTATATTTCTAATCTAGGCATCTTGTTTTTTAGGGCCCTTCTTGTTTTTTTTCGCCCTCTCGCATTAGATTTAGGGTCTCCAAAGGACGTCATCCATAAAATTTACTTGGTGTGGCCTAGTATATATCAAACGTAGTATACCTGCCGACTAGCATGAGTTCCCTCTCGGACGCCTGTTTCCTGACCCGTTTCCAGATGTCTATAGTGAAGACGGCGCTGCCGCTGTTGAAGATGGAGGTCAGTGAACTCATCAGAGCCGCCATCATGACGGCCAGCATCAGTCCACGGAGTCCTGAGCACATGGGTGAGTGGACGGAAAAATACGATATAAACGTTAGCATGAAAGTTCATCTGAGTTGGTAAATTACGTGGTGAAAATTAAGCTGTTTTCCAAGTCCCAAAAATGACTCAACGGAAATTTCAATTCTCGGGCTTGATCAGCTATCTGACCCAAGTGCTGTAGACACGTGATTTTTCCGCACGTGTGACGTCAGCTATGGGTCTAAGTTGGTCGGAAATCGGTACCGCCCCCCCCCGTCACGGATGAGAGTGTGTTTGGGTCAAATAGCTTATTAAGACCAAAAGATTCGGTCAATTTTTGACGATATAAACATGTTTGTAAATGGCTAATTGCATCTAAAAGGCAAAACTCGTCATGGCTTTGCGTTGTTACATCAGCGCCTTCTATCAGTTATATGTCATACTGCAGCTGAATACCTCTCATATGAAGACCGCTTACCTGTAGGCATGAGTTCGATGACAAGTTTTGGATAAGCGATGTTAGAACAGCCCACAGGGTTCCTGCACACCTCCATACATTTGGCAGGGTCCACACAGGCTACCTCATCTGCACAGGACAAGTATTAACATGTATTATAAATCTACATGTACGATCCATGTATATGAGTTTGGCAAGCTTTGACATTTTGTAGACATCCTCTAGAGCGCCCTCTCACCGAAATCTCCCAAACTCCAGATATGGGACATCATAAAACTGTGAATAGAAATAATTGAAATTTTTTCACTTAGATTGTCATTTCCAATAACTTTCAATATATTAGCGCAGCTATTTCGCTTATCCTGCGACTCAGCGCAGCGCGAGAATAAGTTGCGCTAGGCTATCTGTATTTTTAGGAAGCTCCTAAAAAGAATGTAAACAAACAGCGGTTTTCGTTCGGTTATCTTCGGCAGCTTTTGGCACGTTTTTGCGGCGCAACGACGTTGATCCTTTACTCCCCAAATGTCATTATGAACCTAGGTAGGCTTATAGCGCCAGAAAAAATTGTGTAAAACAGCGATGTTTAAAATAGCGAAAATCTTATTACATAATATCGCTTTAAAAGTAAGCTAACGACAAATATTATTTTCAGGGCATTGCACATCAACCGAAACGACTGATCCTGGTAACGAGATGCTTTGATGGTTGTAGACTGACCTGGGAACAAGGCCCTGCTGATCATGCCGGGAAACACCATCATGAAGACCGGCAGGATCTTGAGGTAACCGCAGACGATACTTCCCGCCTTAGCGTGGTGGATGTTCTTAGCCGACAGGGACCGCTGTACAATCACCTAGCGGAAACATGGACTGGTTCATGTACATGCCCTGTGTTTATAAAAGGTACAGGTGTTCCTTGGCCCCAAAAGCCAATTTCGCCAGGTCCCTAGAACAATCCGAACAGTACAGACAGCTCTTACCGCCTTCACGAGAGGAAATAAGTGTAAGGAAAACTAGATCATCCCACAAACCGAACAGTATTTACTGTAGAACTGTAAGATATCACGACAGTGCAATACCACACATGGTACGGTTGCTGAACCTATGTGAAATAATTTGACCATTTTAATCTGCTTAAGAATGTTTTTATGCTCCGTCAATTTTATCCTGTTCGTAAATGTTTTAAATATGTTTGAGATAATGGTTGAGATATTGTTTTAACGAATCTCATGGAAACAGCTCCCATGCAATTCAGCCTCTGGCTGCCAGGTGGGACTGTCCGTATGTATTGTATATATGTTAATAATTGAATAAACCACTATTATTATTATTATTATTATTATTATATAGGATGGGGGCACGTTAGTAACCACACATTCATCCACGATTTGCTGCTAGGTAGGAATGATTTGTACAATTTATCTGTTTGTGATACGTGTAAATTGTATTGTATTCTGCCATCAGTTCAGGATGTTAACATTATTTCTGGTTTTGTATTTTACAGTTAGATTTCTTTATCTATGTTTGTATAACGTCTGTATTTGTGGGTCATCTACTACCAGTTTCGACTGCCTTGATGACCCGTGTACTGATGTGTTGTCAGTTTCCTATAAAATAACGTAAAGTATAAAGAGGGCAAGAGACTATCCCTCTCTTTCCATCGCCTTTTACCTCCCCAACTGAAGCCAGGTACCCATTTTATATACGTAGGTGGAGTAAGGAAAGTCGTCTTAAATTTAAAGACACGATATCTAGCCAGGAATGCAAGGGTTTTGTGTATAATAATCTTGTAATTCCTGCACAGGATGCTATAGGTGCATGTACCTGCTGTTGTTTGTTTATATTTGTTTGTTTGTTTGTTTACCTGATCCGGGCACCAGTACCAGATCGCCAGGAAGGTGATGCCGAGCAAAGCTCTAGACCATTTCAGATGCATATCGTCTGTTGATGTGTTTATGTGTTATTTGTTTACATTTGTTTTTGTTTATTTGTTTGTTTACCTGGTCCGTACACCAGTACCAGGTGGCCAGGGCGGTGATGCCCAGCAGCGCTCCAGGCCAGGGCAGATGCATGTCGTCAGCCGGGCGGAAGAGGTGGAAGGCGTCGGGCTTAGGCGCGCCACACGCCGCCAGAAGGGTGTTGTTCGTCACGGGGACGGCCGTGAAGTACTTCTCCGCAAGCCCGGACATTCCTCCGACTTTCAGAAAACCTTTCAGGTAAAAATTTAAGACAGAAAATAATACTTTAAACTGTAACATTTAGTTGAAAAAACTGCCCTTTACTCTAATTTCTGGCGAAGGTTTATACATTGAACTCCTGATATCGTGTAAAAAATCGCATGCGGCTATTCTATTCCTACCGGCTTTGAATTGTTTTGCTAGATGTCAACGTGTTATTTTGTTCAAGGTTAATGCCTAATTAATTTTTTAAAATCTTTGAAAGCTTACTTATAATCATAAGAATGAATCCTCCGATCACCATGACCACGACTTGAAACGTGTCGGTGTAGATCACTGCCTTCAGACCGCCTGGAAAAATTAGTAAATGTAACAGTAAATATTCCATGACCTTTTCACAGCCATATAGAAAGAAAATGCTATGACATCCTATAGATGTGGTAGGTACATGTACACGATCTAGAAATTGTGTCATGTCTCCTTTCCTTTCCCTGTCTTCCCACAACGTGTTACAAAAGTCAATGCCCCTGTCCTTGGTGCTGAATGCTTTCACATGATAAGTTATGTCTGCGCTTTCAATGATTACACTCTATTGATGCACGAATGTTTGCCTTTAGATTCTTCTTCTTTTTTTCTTCTTCAGCTAAATGACCTATGATCCACTGCCATTGGTTTTACGTGTTAATGCAGTACACTAAAGATAAAGATGAAGACAAACCCAGTATAGTGTAGACCGCTGTGACGGCCAGCAGCACGATGATGGACAGGTACTGGTCCCAGTCTAACGCCTGCTGGACAAACACTGCACCGGCGTACATGTTCACCTGCAGCCAAAAACAATTCAGCATTGCCAATGTAAGTTTAGGAAATCCCTTACCAATCTTAAAATGCATTTGAAATAGGGAAATTCCTGCTTTAGCATGTCATCGGTAAATAGCCATGCCTTCCAGTACGTTAGTAAGCTTTCTACCCGTATTGGAGGTGTTCAGAAATTCGTTTTTTTCCTAGAAGTATCCTAGAGTAGAACTCGCTGTCACCAAGTGCAGTAGGGGTACCCTCAATAGATAGTTTTGAACAATGTTTTCTGTCAGATGTGCAAAGGTTAGCGTGTCAGGTTATTCAGTGTAATATAGCCAGTTGTGACCGCGCCTTGTGCCTGCGAACCTGGTGTGTTACACTGGCTATGCATATAGAGATACAGGTGTAGCTTATTGTTTTATTCTTACAAAATAGATACTAGTAAGTAAATGTTCAGGAAGATGGAGAATGCCTACAATGCTATCAAAACTACACTGTTTACGTATCTTACCGATATTTTAGTGAAGATGTAGAGGAACAGAGACAGCGTGGCGAGGTAAGTCCGTAGCCTCTGCCCGCCGAACCGCCGTGTGAGGTACTCGGGCATGGTGTAGACTCCTGCCGAGATGTAGATGGGCACGAACACCCAGCCGAGCAGCAGCACGATAAACAGGGACTGCAACACGGAATTAATTGTTACGTAGGGTAAAAGAAAAGAGGCGATGGGAGAGACCATGTACACTGTCCTTTCCTGCTAGAACTGTCCTTTTAGACACTGTGCCCTGGCTCTTAAAATCAGGTAGAATTGATATCAGTTACAAGTATGGAGGATATTTTCAAACATTGCTAAAGAATCCTTATATGCAGTTAAATTATATTGAGTAGATTTTATTCTTCAGCTGATATAGCTTCCTTTTGTATGACTTGGCGGAGTAGACTGTTGAATAGTCTGGATGCCAGACTATTTCCAGGGTCTACACAGTATAGCTCTTTGGCTCTGAGACCAACATGCTCCCAAGGAAATTTTTACCGTAATACCCACTGTGTTAGACCCTGAGAAAACAGTCTAGCCAGCGGGGGGCTGTGTTTAAATTTCCTTTGGGTATGCTGACCCTAGAGCCGAAGAGCTGTCCTGTGTAGACGGCCTGAAAACAGTCTGGCATCATGACCAACTCTAACTTGAACTGCTTATAGGGTACGTTCTCCCAGTAGACTTCTATAATAAAAGGAATCACTGCCAGTGTCTGTTTATTAGGATGATATGTGAGATTCCTACGTTCCACTCATACTGTCCCACAGCGATGCCGGCCGCCGCTCCTGTTCCAGCCAGACCCACGAAATGTTCACTGCCGATGTTACTGGCGAACAGAGACGCTCCAACCTAGGACGGAAAAAAACATGTCAGTCTGTGAGTTCTAGCTTTTGTTTGTGTTCAGGCCATGTTGATTTGATTATATGGATGACATCCTCAGGGAATCCCATAACTGATGCGAGCGTGCGAATGAAAAAAAAGTTTGCAAAAAAAATGTTGCTTTCATTATGAAATCTAGGTGGTCATGAAGATTGAACAAATGGCACAGAGTATGGTATGGCGAATAACATACTCTTCAAATTCATTTCTTTACATTTTCATCTTTTTCGTTTGATTTTGGCATTCTACATACATACCATTCGACATTGGTATCGTTTTCAATTTTTTTTCAACTTACGGTATATATTTGCTCATTTTGCAACTGTTTTGTACAATGTACAGTATGGTTGATAACTTTTTTTTAAACGGTTGAAAATTCATGCGCGCGCGGATGTCATCCATATAATCAAATCAACATGGCCTCAGTAAACCACAGTAACTTTTTTTACTTCATGGTTCACCACAAAACAAGGCTCATGGGAGCCACTCAAATGCTTTGGGTTACAGTACAGCCAGTGAGGACAGATGTTTGTTGACCTTAGACTTGAAAAGTTCAGGTTATACCCATATGGGAAACAATCACGTGGTAGCTCATTCCATAGTGGTGTAGTTCTAGGAAATAAACTTTCAGCGTGGAACTTCCTCCTAAGAGGTGGTGTATGGAGGAAGAAATGACGATTTGCTACTTTTGAAGGTAGTCAATATGCATAATTATATTTACAAAAAGGAAGCTAGAGTTTTTTGTTTTTTAATTTGTCGATTACAAAAAGGCCTGCTTGCTAGTTAGAGCAGAACTTAAGCCATGACTTTGACCTTATTAGGATCCACAATTTGGCCTGGCATCTGTTAGCTATTATTCAATACAAAACGTAGCTCGAAGGTAACAACCTGGCTCCTTTGGCGCTGAATTGGAACAAGTTTGAATGACTTACCGGGAACCACCACATGTTCTTTCCCGCCAGGAAGTACCCCTTCACACTGCCTCGGTTGGACCGCCACATCGACTGGAAATTTAATATATATAACAATTTGTACTCTTGATTTGAAAAAAAAAACATAACTTTACTGTGTTTCTGAGGGTTAACGTCTGGTTAATCAATTCAAGCTCACAGGGTGCCCGCCCGGCGGCAGTCTGCCCTGTAAGGTCGCGTTTGTTTGTGAAAGTTGACAGAAAAGGGGGGCGTGTCCACGGCTGTCCAAGGACGTATTTCTTCAGAACAACAAGTACCAGATGTGCTAAGCCATCAATCTTTCCAATGGGCTAGCCGTTCTCACAATATATACTGTAGATATAGCTGAACTTCTCACTATAGATTAGCCTGGGTGCCAGACAGTTGATAGGGCGAAGATACAGGCTAGCTCCTCGGCTACAGGGCCAACATGTCCCCAAGGAAATTTTGCCATAGACACCCCTCAGTTAGACCCTGAGTAACACCGTTCACTGGGGGCTAGCCTATGTACTGACCCGAACTGAGAACAGTCTGGCATCCAGGCTTACTGTAGATGTATATGTCCGTATATACTTGTCTATTATTGTGTGTTGCAAAGTATAAGTCTACATTCACATGCACTGAGGTGTTTAATATGGGTGAGGAGTCGCTATCTCAATAGACAGACACTGTACCAAGATACTACCACGCCACGCCCTACATATGTACCTCCATCTCTTACGAAAAGCGCAGAGTTGTAGAAAGAATAGTTCGCTCACCCACAGTCCGACTGCCAGAACCAGTACGAAGTACAACACTATGATGACGATGTCAGCCACCTCAATCTGAACGCCCGCCATGTTGGTACCGGGTACAGACGGCAAGGTTACCGCGTTCTCCTCAAAACACCGGCCGCCAATATCTGTCGGCAAGACTGGGGTAAAAGTTCAGATCTAGGGACGGTCCATTTCAGGTCAGATCGGGTAGCACTAGCCTCCACCAGGCCTTTCTACGGGAATACGGATCGTAGAATTCGGCAAAAAAAGAGGGTAAAATTGGCCAAGGGAGTCCGGTAGCGGGGAGGTAGTTTCTTTAACTGCGCGGCCAGTCAAACCTACAAGGCGGCCAAACTCCCCTGGCATTTATTCTCCTATACCAGCGTAGTTAGTCTGGTAGAGACTAGGATAGAACGTTTTTGGCTGTTTCTCTGTAAATAAAAACAGCTAGATGTGTCTATACTGTGAGCCTATTTTGTGAGTCCGCAATTATTTTTAGTTTAGCTACACTTAAGCACCATTGTAAGTTAAAAAGTTAGTTTAACTTTGTTTTTGTTTTGTTTGTTATGTTAACATTTAGATTCCTATCAGGCTAGGATTGGAGAGACATATTCTATGTGTATTTCAACGTGTATACTCTACGTGCATTGGATCATCGTCCTTTTTTAAACTAACAATGACACACCCAAAAAAGTTCATACAGGATCGTCCCCTTTTTAGGACAACTGTGATCGGAGTGCAAGGGTTTAGAGGTCACTGGAAGGTCATGAGTTGATCGTTTGCTTCAGATTCTCGTGTGTTTGGACAATGTCAACTGAACCTTACAAATGATTAACTTGGAAACAAAGCTTGGTCAGAGTGAAGGCACAGGCAGTTTAGGTATATTCCGCTGGAGGTCGCTTTTGTCTTATTTCTTTCTCTGCATGATGCTTACATTTTACTGGAAAACATTTCATACTGTTGTGGTGTAAATGATAATGGTAAAATAGACAGTGAAATAGTGAAAGTTGAAATGTATCATGATCGAATCGTATAAAGAATTTGTTAAGTAAGAGATGGCGATTTAAACATAATTTATTGTCTTGTTCAAGCATATGTGGACTGTACATGTGTGGAATTTGCGACACTTAAAATGTATTTTGCGACGTTTTGTTGTTTGCTGATAAAGGGACGACTTGCGGTAATCGGTGAAAGTTTCAACCCAGTCAAATACACCGTATAGCATCCAATATTCGCCCAAACACATAATATCCAGTAAGTATCAATTGATCATGCTTGACTTTTCAGGTGACAACGACCTAGGTTAAAGTAAAATTCCACCTAAAATCCACGCGAAAATTTTCCCAATCTACAGTTGCTGGCATTATTCGCTAGATTGTAAAGAAAAGACAGTTTGCACATTTTGTATGACTTACAGTACTAAGACCCAAACCCGTCCATCCAGTTTAGTACAGAAGCTTGCATATTTTGTTCCTGAAAACATGTCAGCTTCGGGACTCATAAACTACGACAAAATGTAACCAGGTAAGAAACACTACATTTATGTAGGCATGTAGGAATAATCTGCTGCCCTTGAAAACTCCAGCCAAGTTGTTTTGTTGCCTGTTTTAACGTTAACCTACTCTTTGCGAACATATGGTTGCAGCGTAGAAGGGAAACCGCCAGAGGGCAAATGCGTGTGTAGCCCCCAATCCCATAACTATGTTGCTCGACTTTTACCTTTTCTTACAATTTTGGCCTCGTGTATTTCATTCTACGCTTAGTTTTTGCATTTTTTGGCCTGTAATAACAACGCTACACGAAGTTACCTTTCTTTTAGACGTAGGGTTGTAAAAAAAAGGTATAAAGAGGATTTTAAAATGGGTCCCTGAAATTTCAAGATGGCGGAGTGGGAGGGGTCTTCATCATATCAAACTTTGAATCAAACTGGACTGAAAATACACATTCTGTATGTATCATAGATGGCTTTTTATATGGTAGCCTCATAGTCTTAGATACAGGTAGTATGGCTATCGAGGTCTTAGGCATACTTAAAACATGTGATTCTTGCCACTGCAAAAAACGTACTCGAAAAGTGGTTGTGTTGATTGCACATACAGACAACATTGTTCTTAGTACATTTACAACTGTCTTAAGAAGCGAGAAGAAGCAGAACCTGTACATAGGTAGTTTTATTATAGATTTATTTTAGTCTACCATCGCTATTTACCATGACCTGTACTTAGCTCGCAATGAGCAAAAATGTGCAATAAAGGTCTTTAATTCATTGTAAATTGTTCTAATGCGATTTACAATGGATTTACCTGTACATTAGTACTGTATCATGCTTGGTTAAATCATTTTAAATCAGTTCAAATCAGTTCTATTTTCTTCCCTACAGGTCGATATACGCACTGGATTGGCAGTTTTTTTCTTAGAATATGTGAAAACGATTAAAATTCCATCCTCAAGAGACACTTCGCTTATAAGATAATGTACTGAACGAATGAAGAAAATGGCGTCTTTTATGGAGAGAAACAGTAGTCTATACAGAGGAGAGCTAGACTCTGAGGATGACTTCGGGATCCCTCCCGACGGCCGGCGGCTCACACTAGACTACGCCGAGGACCCAGAAGAAGAATTCAACCAGCACGAAAACCGCTGTGGGTGCTGTCAGTGTACCCCAGACTGCTGCCAATGTTGTGCCAACCCTGTCTTATTTTCAGTCGTCTGGACTATTGCTATAACTCTATGCAACCTATGGTTAGGGTACACGCAAGGGATTCTAACTACGGTAGAAAAAGTTTTCGACATGGAGAGTAAACTGACAGGGTTCATCTACGGGTCAAACGATTTAGGCTTCGTCAGTATGATTCTTCTTGTGTCGTATTTTGGCGGGAAACCGAACGCTCACAGACCTAAGATGATCGGGATTGGTGTTATTGTGATGGCGCTATCGTGCTTTTTCTTCGCCCTCCCACACTTTGGAACTGGAGGGGAGAGGGACTGGTACAAGATACAGCTCAAAGAAAGGACCAGCGGGATCTCTTCGCTTCTGTGTAGGGATCACCAACAGTCGAATGAGACAGAGCAGTTGGAGTGTGATGCGAGGCGGAAGTATAAGTCGGGAGGCTGGGTCATCACCATGGTGATTGCGCAGTTCATTTCCGGGATGGGGGAGGCGCCGCTACTGCCCCTGGGAACGACGTACCTGGATGATCACGTGTCCAAACTGAACTCAGCCCTGTACATTGGTGAGTTATCAAACTTTTACATGGATGTTTATCAGAGGAAAATTCTTTTTGCTCTGTATCTTCTTCTTCTTTCCAAAAACTGACCTGGTCAATGACCTGAACCAGACCGTCTGTCACCATAGTAACTGGTGTTGGGTTACATAATGTTGCAATTTCATAGTAGGAGTGATTTAGACTCCTGCCACCATATATGTGAAAGACAAGACTTGCAATTTCGCACCATTTTTGTCTTTACTCCATCGGTAAATATCGTAGCTATGATCAAGATTTATTATGTAGCAAAGTGCTACATAATAAATCTTGATATTATAATGTAACAATTCAGAATGATAAAAAACACATTTCGAATCGATGTATGCTTAGGACTACTGTAGAACGGTTTTGTATCCTCTCTCACTGAATGATCCCCCTCACAGGTCTGTCCTTGGTACTGCCCAACACCGGCCAGCCCCTCGGTCTGCTGCTCAGTTCCTACACCCTCCGGTACCACGTCAACTGGCCGTTCGCAGACGCCAAGCGTGTAGGTGAGGCAAAATCCCATTCTCCTATCATATACCCTTCAAGAGAAACATCCTGAAGTTTTACTCAAATCTCCCATGACGATGGCGCGCGTTCGATCCCACCGCTGCCACCATATGTAACGTGCCGATATACGCAGCCTTAGAAGATCTTAGAATGATGGTCTTGACTTTATTGGCCTTAATCAGATACAGGTGTTCTGGTCTCGTGTTCTATCTCCAACAACACAATTACTATTGAAACTTCTCTTACAAATAAAACTTGTCAATATACTATACATGACAATTGACATATTTCACCTACCGAGAACGTTGAGTACAGAATGACAGGACAAGAGGTCAGACATAATTAGGACTCGGGCGAACTTTAGAATAGGTTGACAGTACGTGGGTGGGGAAATTGACAGGCAGAATGACCCGACAAGGTTAAAAAGCCAGGCACAGGAAATGGGGTGAACTTGGCGGCCATGGAAACCTAAATTTTAAAATCTGAAACTTCCGATTTCCTGTCATTCAGGTTTAGACTATGAGGACCCCCGGTGGATCGGAGCGTGGTGGCTCGGGTTTGTGCCGATCGGGATCGCCTTCCTGGTCACCGCCGTGCCCATGATGTGCTTCCCGCGTAAGATGAGGCAGACGCACGTGGAGGAAGTAGTATTCAAGGAGCCGGGCGAGGACGATCCGCTGGAGGATATAGAGAACGTGGAGGGCCAGCTCATCAAATTTGATGGTACGTTCATTCTGACTACTGTTGTTTAATGCCCATATATGTAGGAAACTAAGTCTTAAAATGTCCAACTAAGAATTACAGACACATGCGGAAACACGGAGAAACATACACATACACACACACACTTACAGACACACAAACACAAACACAGACATAAATACACAGAGACGAACAGACAGGCGCACACAAAGACATGCACACACACACACACACACACACACACACACAGAGATGAACAGACAGACAGACAAACACAGACATATGGATACACAAACAAACACACACACACACACACACACACACACGAAAAGACAGATGAATTCTCTCTCTTATATTTATTGAGTATGAGGCAAAAAGCAAGAGTTGCTTATATGACACCTTCTACTCAAAAACATACAACGAGTATAAAACACATTGACAATCTCTCACCCTCTCTTCCCTTCCCCATGCAGATCTCCCAGCCCTGAAGAAGCTAATGAAGAGCCTGTGCAGTAACATGGTGTACATCACCCTGGTGTTGGCGGCGGCGTGTGTCCTGTCCATCGGGAACGGCTTCGTCACCTTCCTGCCCAAGTACATCAGCGTGCAGTTCGGGCTGTCCGAGTCTGCAGCGGCCAGGCTGCTCGGTAGGGGTCGCTTCTTACTCATAACGATCAGTTTGCAATGATTTGCACGCAATAATATTGTTACATGCATATGTAGGAACTCGAGAAATGATGGTAACACTCTTGAACTTCAACGGTTCAACCTCTGACTGGAGAATAAAGTTCTTTAAAAGGGCAAATTGTAACATGTTTTGCATGACTGGAAATATTTTAATTGACCAAATCTTCGTATGATTGAAATTTACTTCCACTTTTCAACATATTTTTGCGATTATCTCACATTTCTGACATTTATGGTTGGCACTCAAATAGCTAAAACGACCTTGAGGCGCACTCATTTTGTGGTACCACCTCAAAATACCAGAACGCAAACAAAATTAAACATATGACCGACAGCTGTGTTTCCAGCTTTTTGAGCACACTCGTAATGAGTCATATTTTGGCATCTCCACTTCCTGAAAAGCAGTTTTGCAATGGAGTAGGCTAGGGTTGATTAGATTTACTTTGTAAAGAAATGGCCAGAAAATAGACTTTTTGGATTGTCCTATAGTTTACATAATGCAGCTTTAACAAAGGTAATACTTGCATAGCAAATGTATAACGTTTACCTTCGCATATGGTCTGCTCTGTAAATTCTTACTCAAACACATTCATATATATGGTGACAGGAGTCTAAATCCCTCCTACTATAAAATTGCAACATTATGTAACCCAACACCAGTTACCATGGTGATAGACGGTCTGGTTCAGGTCATTGACCAGGTCACAGGTCAGTGTTTGGAACGGAAGGAGAAACAGAGCAAAAACAATATGTTTTCCTTCGGTAAACATTATAATAATTATTCATCTGCAGGTTTTACGGTGCTCCCCGCCGCCGTACTGGGTACCGTGGCGTCTACCGTGGTGATGCGGGTGTGGCACGTCTCTGACCGGGGCATGGTCCTCCTGTGTGCCGCCATCAGCTTCGTCCTCTGCCTGCTGACCATCCCGGGCATGGGCCTGTTCTGCGACCAGCAACCCTTCGCCGGTCTGACCACGTCATACCAAGGACGATGGTATGTACAAGTGGACATATATACTTCTGTTCTATACTTTTGCATTGTTTATTATGCCCATCGAAAAACGCGTTATGTGCTGAATGTCATTATTCTTGTACCACACAATGAATTCGAATACAAATACCATTTAGAATAAAAATCAGTATATTAATTAGATAAATCTATAGATGAGAATTTTATACTTTTTTTACGTTACGTCATCTGCGTGCTTCCTTACAATTTCCGGGCATGACTCGGTTTCCAAATAAACTTTGTTATAACAGGCCTATGTACATGTACATGTAAGTAAGCACCATGGGCTGAAAGAATTCTTTACGCACATTTTGATACATGCGAAAAGTTCCGTTTCTTTAGCCTGGGTACCATCCTGTTACTTTACGTTGGTCGGCAGCGACAGTATGTGGGGGCGGACGTAAACTAACCAGAATGGTACCCAGGCTACCGTTTCTTCCCTCGCATGTTCCTTTAGGCGTACTTTAAGGTGTGCTTAAAGATACAATTTCGTGCAATTTTCATTAAATGCATACTTTTATATATTTATTCCAGGCATCGCCCCAGGTTCAACTTCCTAAACTTCCAGACGTACGTTCCCCTGATAGAGGACGAGTGTAACCAGCACTGTAACTGTCTTGATGAGGAGTTCGCCCCGGTCTGTGGCGCCAATGACGTCACGTACTTCTCCCCGTGTTACGCCGGCTGTAAGGACCGCATGAGGGCGTCTAACACAAGCGAGCTGGAGATATTCGTGAGTAGAAGTTTGTCATTAGTGCTTATTGTCATATAGCCAGATGACATTGACCAATCATGCAGATTTCATATTGGTTATTACGCCATATCCTACCTAGCGCTCACTCGGCGGTTTAATTGGTGGTTATAGGAAATGACCAGGCCTTAAGCTTATGACACAATATACACCTCGGGGCGTGTCATGCATTAACCCTTACTTAAATCATAACTACTTACCAAGAACATTAATTTATTATGAATAAAACATGGAAAAGTCATAGATAAATAATTTGTTCCAAAACTGGGTAGAAATCAGGCTAGTCTGAATATCAGTACGCTTTTTGACACAACATAACTTGATATTAATTATAAATGCATTTCTTCTTGACGGTGACGGCTGAGCGATCGTTGATCTCGAGCAACCAAAATTGGATTTGGTGCACAATATAAACTTGTAGTGGTAGAACACAAGGCTAGTAGAGAGGAAAACATCTCTTCCATTTGACCGGAGTCAGTCAGAAGTTGGAAGTCGTTGCGTGAAAACTCTCTCTGTCTTGTCTCGGCTACGCAACAATAGTGGTGGCAGCGGTGGGATATGGTTTTAAAGACAACAAAACATTTTTGAAAATCTTTTTGTATCTTTAAAATTTGTTGAGTAATCTGTAAAAAATTTGGTCACTCAGTAGTTACAGTCTCTAGTACAAAGTTGACATAAAAATTGATCTATGACGTCACAGGTGTACTCACACTGCGCATGCGTGGATCACGGCGTGATGCCTGTGGAAGGTAAGACGTACCGCGGGGCGTACGCCGAGAGTAACCAGTGCCCGGATGAAGACTGCAGCAGTGACATGTTCCTGGTCTTCCTCCTCTTCATCACGGCCTTCATCATGACGTTCTTCGTCACGCCTTTTCTGATCGCCATCCTCAGGTACATTTTAAATCCACTTTCAAAAGTTACAAGGTTACGCCAAACACCTACTTAATATTGCATGTTTATTATTAGAAAAAAAATTATGAAACTTATAAATACCGTACTACTAGCTCGATTGTGTACTGTACTAGTCATTGTTTGACTACGTTTAGTAGCCCTTGTTACATTGTACAATGTAAAATTATCTTTCTTTCTTTCTTTTTTGAAATCACTTTCTGATTATTTATTTCTAAATAATCATAATCTCTAAATTCATCTTTTTGAGCAATCTACCCTGTTTCATTTGGCTTTTTAAATTGGCTTAGATATGTCTGAAATGTCTAGTTGACATATGTATATATGTACAAATTTACACAAAGTTTTCTCTCTCTCTGCTCCTAAGATCGGTTGGACCCAATGAAGGACCGATGGCGTACGGCACTGCTGGGTTCTTTGGCAGAATACTCGGTAAGTTTACAGGGTTTTTCTTTTGGTATAACACCGAAAGTACTACCTAATCACCAACTAAATGCTCTCTCTCTCTGATGGTTGACTGGCATAGCCCACATTCATAGCCGCGAAAAGACTTTTACCTTGTCAAAAACGTTTGGAAAAACAGGAATAGAGATTATGAGAGGATAGAACTTGACGGTAGAAAACATTGGAGCCTTGTGTTCAGCACCAAGGACAGGGACGCCGATGTAAGAGCTTTCTCTCTCTGTGCGTCTCTCTCTCTCTGTCTGTGTGTGCGTATCTCTCTCTCTCTCTCTCTCTCTCTGTGTGTGTGTGTGTGTGTGTGCGTATCTCTCTCTCTGTGCGTCTCTCTCTCTCTCTGTTTGTATGTGTGTGCGTTTCTCTCTCTCTCTCTCTGTGTATCTGTGTGTGTGTGTGTGTGTGTGCGTATCTCTCTCTCTCTGTGCGTCTCTCTCTCTCTGTTTGTGTGTGTGCGTATCTCTCTCTCTCTCTCTGTATCTCTGTGTGTGTGTGTGTTTGTGCGTATCTCTCTCTCTCCGTGCGTCTCTCTCTGTGTGTGTGTGTGTGCATCTCTCTCTCTCTCTCTCTCTCTCTCTCTCTGTGTGTGTGTGTGCGTATCTCTCCCTCTCTCTGTGTACATGTGTGTGTGCGTACCTCTCTCTCTCTCTCTCTCTCTCTCTATCTCTCTCTCTGTGTGTGTGTGTGTGTGTGTGCGATTCTCTCACTCTGTGTCTGTGTGTGTTCGTCTCTCTCTCACTCACTCATTCCCTCTCTCCCACTCCAGGAGGTCTGATCGCTCCGGTGATCTTCGGCGCCGTGATTGACGTCTCCTGTATCATCTTCGCCAAGCGGTGCGGGCGGACGGAGGGGGAGTGCCTGCTGTACGACGTGAACGCGAACCGGTACCTGACCATGGGGCTCACCGGCATCTACTTCTGGATCAGCTTCATGCTCCTGTCCGCGGGGTGGGTCGTGTTCGAGCCGGGACGGGGGCAGGGCGACAAGTTCAAGTAGTTCCGCCATCTTTCACATAGTCAGAGCTTTCCCCCGACCACCAACCAACCGAGGTTGACTGAGGTTCGGGAGCAATTTGAGCAGCCTTTTTATATGTAGGCACGCCGAGTGGGAGGCCATATTCGGCTATGCGTCTCAATGGCTTTAGAGATCGCTTTGTCCATGGTTCGCTCACGTAACGTTAACGTTACATGCAGAAAGGTGCTGACATTCAGTACTAGTATAATTAATTATGTATACGTGTTGTTGGGAACGATTGTTGTAACACATATTAGGGTGTTGTTCTACATGAATTATGTGAAATACATTTGCAGGGTATGATAATAACCGTTGTCTCTGTGACTGGTCATGTATTGTTTCATTTTCTAGATTTGCACCAGTGACAGTAGTACTCATATATACGAATAAATTATGAGAAATAACAAGTGAGTCTGTGGTTTTCCTGCTGTTTCAGAACGTAAACGAATGATAAGTTACACCATGGCACCAAAAATGCAAAATAACAGACGGGAAGAATCATTTTTCAAGTAACTACTGACCTGGAAAAATATTGACGTGGTTGCTGGCCCTTACGAGTTGTCATCTTTGCTTGTTCCAACAATAAAGTTTAATTCGTGACATGGATATCTTGATCGCGAAATTGTTGTAGACTTCTAAAGTTTAAGTTTGCCTATCATGTTATCTGGAACAATATAATTGTTTTCACAGCAAATAGATAGCGCTGTCATTGCCTTTACGTGTAAAATAAAATGAGGTCAGATGATGACATATGCATAATTGTGCGCTGTCGCCACCATCATTAAGTGCGTAGTTATCAAACCGGTTGGACCGTCCATTTGGGTGGCTGCCCAGTGTAGAAAACAAAGACGGCTTATGCAAGAAATTACTACAATTTTGACATTTAATTCATCTGTTTCTGACTTCGATGACATCGGATGAATATTTCTAATTCTCATTTTTATATCTTTAAAATTGTCCTCTCAAAACGAAGGCACAGTCAAATACAGCAAAAGCCATCTATACGTCAGACCTAATCAGGCACAGTTGACAGAAGCCACCTAAAAGGGGCCTTCCCAACCACCTGCCCTGACGTCGTCAGAACAAACACACCGACCAGACAATCAACATACGTAGAGCGGACAGGTTGGACAAAATCGGCAAAATTGCACCCAAAATGAAGGCTTTAGTCCTTCTCCTGGCCTGTCTTGGGTTCGTGGGAGTCCAGGGGTTTCCTGTGAGCGATGTGGAAGACAGGGAAGCGGCCAAAGCCATCGGAGGGATGGCGAACGTGCTCGCGAATCTCTTCGATCGTTTTCCCTTTGCCCCTCCGATCGAAGATCTTGAAGAAGTCGAGCCTGAAGAAAAGAAGGAGGTCGATGAAACCAAGGAGCCTCTTGACGAAAATGACAGCAAACCTGCTCAAGAGGAAAAGGAGGAACCCAATTTCGGTAAAGTTGCGGTAGCTTTACATGAGACAACATACAGCAAAATACGTACAGTGATTTCAAATGGCCTTGTATGTAGGTATATCACACGTCATCTTACCTGGGGGTATGCATGATTAATTTTTGCAAAACATGGCCTCTGCAAAATGCCCTTCTTTCTTGACAGTCGCTTTCCCATGTAGAGCCCATGTTAATATTACAGTAGCAGTACGCATTCCACAGTCGCGTTTACTAGTAATCAATTAAACTACCTGGTAAGAGAGACGTTAATTTCTAAGGGTGTTTTTGTACGGTGACAACCGGAAAGGAATGTTACTTCCTTAAAACATATTGTTTGCACCTATCAAGTGCAGCCCAATGTTCAACTTGTGTTAGTTATGTAACTTTATTGTGAATATGATGTGGGACTGAACAATGACTTTCAATGAGTGATTTCCAGTAAATTGCAATAAGGAAAATTATCAACATTGATTGGAATTCGAAGTTTGAATGCAAAATAGCAAAAGTACAGTTACCAAAATAAACTAAGGCACAGTTTTTAACAAGGCCTTGATATAATTTTATAGCCATTCACCATGTGGTAAGCACTAAATTATTTTCTATAGTGTGTGCCTTGTCGTATTTTCATTACGTTATATGGAATGATTGTTGTTCTCCTTGTTTGTTGTGGTTTGAATGTTGATGTTTATGTTTCCCTCCAGATGACATGTTTGCTAAGAGTGCCCTGGGTATGATGAAGGGGATGGAGAACATGATGAAGGGGTTCCAACCCATGATGTCAGGTGAGTTGTTGTAGTTATGCACTGGATATAAAATTTAATTACAACTTCCAAAATTACTGTTTCATAAGGTTGGTAAAGTATAGGATACAGGAGTTTTCTTCTACACAACCAAATATTCTCACCAGAAGTGCTGACGTTTCGGTGTCTATCAGACACCTTCCTCAGAGCTTCGAATTCTGACTGGAGTTCTGCTTCTTGCCGCAAAAGCTCCACACGGCTACATCGGCTACATTGGCTACATGTATATAGAGGTGAGAAGCAGAACTCCAGTCAGAAGCTCTGAGGAAGGTGTCTGATAGACACCAAAACGTCAGCACTTAGGTGAGAATATTTGGTTGTATAAAAGAAAACTCTTGTATCCTGTTAATTAAAATTGTTCTCCAATGCAATTGCAAGGAAATTTTGATTTACCAGAATTTTCAACTGAACCCTTGGTCATCCAGTGCTATAGATTTTTTTCCACATATGATGCCATCAACACTTGAGTTGGAGAACAGTAAAAATTTCTTACAGTTTACTAAACTACCAACTCAGGACTCAGGTAGACAAAGTATGTTACATAACATCAACTAGAATGTTCTTACATAACATCAATTAGAATGTTCTATGTGAATACAGAATTGTATTTCACACAGGCATGTTACGTAAGTATGACACAGGTAGCCTGGGGGCATTGCCAGGTAGTCATGTGGAAGAAATCAAACTGGTTCTAGCTACTTCACAATCTAGATCCTTCTCTGTATTCACTGTAAATCCATTTATTTTCACTGAAATTCAATTTTGTGGTATAATATAAAAGGCCAAAGGAATTCTGTAGTACAGTAGTAAATTACATTGTACTAGTAATATGTTGGAAACATGGTGTCATAAAGTACAGTGGTCACCATAAAAAGTGTGAAACTAGAACAACTGCAAAGATTTACCCCCAAAAAGCAGTTACTCAAGCAGCTGGATATGATTTTGGAAACAGTCATACAGATGTTTCATGAATCAACTAGTATCCAATAGCTTTTGTCACTATCGTCAGTCTCCTCTGGTCTCTCAGTCACTGATGAAAGCTTGGATACTACCTGAAACGTTTGACCGTTTCCAAAATCATATCCAGTTGCTTGAGTAACTGCTTTTGGGCATATCTTATTACCTGATGTCTAACCTTCATCGACGTATCTCAAGATTTAGTGTAACTGGCTGATTGCTGTTGAGCAAAATTTCATATCAAATTGGCCATATAATTCATGTGAAATTCTAGTAGAAATTATAAGTAGAGTTATAATTTGTACTTCTGTTCTACTAGCTTCTAGTACTAGTAGCAGCTTTAGATATCTATACCTTTATGTAACACCTAACATTTTCCATTACAGATATGATGAAGGATTTTGATGATATGCCCAGTATGGGAGACATGATGAAAGACCTGCCCATGATGGGAGAAATTGACATCAACCTGGACAAGGAAGATCCTGACTTCAGCAAGGAGACTACTGAGTCCAAGAAGGTAATATGCACAGTGCAAAAAGATGGCACAGAACTGTATGCATAACACGTAACCCATAGGAGAACAATGGGCGTGGGAAAATTGGATATTAGGGGTGGGTACCGGTATAGAAAATTCAGGTCCAGGTCCGGATCAGGTTCAGAGGATCAGGTCCAGGTCCGGACCTGAACCGGACCTGATTATTGTACAGTAGTATAGTATATCATTATTTTGGCAAGCGAGACACAATTTCTTCGTGTACACGACACGGCCGTGCATGAGGCCGCTTTTCCCGATGAATAATACGGCTGAAATGCCAGCACATCCACAAATAATTTGATCAAATACTTAATTGCTGCGATCCAAAATGTTACAGGGTTCTCTTAGCGGGGGTTGTTTATTGTTTTGATTGGTAAAACACAGGGTACTAGTAAAATACGCTAAAAATTTAGCCACACCGAGGTCCACACTTCCGGGTTAAGTGACGACAAAATCACGTCGAAAACGCTAAAAATCCGCATAGAAGCATATATTTTCCCCAAAGATTCTTGAAACTATGCATTTCTTCACTAGAATATCGATGTGTGGTTGTGGAAAATAGAATTTTAGCGCCGATATCGAACAACGAAAAGTTGTTAACACGCGCGTCGGCTCGCTCAAGTCTGCCGCCTCGCTCCCTACGCTGCCAGCAGCGGGCGTAACAACCAATCAGAGATGCGAAATGCCGACACGTGACGCGGGATTGCATCACAGTCTAAACAGTGGGGGAGGGCTCGCCGTGCTTGAAATGTTTTTGCGTCAATATTCAGCGCCGTGTTTCAAGAGATTAATACCGGGAAACATTTTTTTTCTTGTTTTTGAACGCATAAACATGGATTTAGGCTGATCTAGTATGATTCAGGGTTATTTTTTTTACCTGCCATGGCCAGATTATCTAAAGATGTGTGTGTTGTGTGTACAATCTACAGAAATGTACATCAGGTCCGGTCATCCGGTTTTCACGTTTCGGTTTTTTGGACTCGGTTCTTGAATGTTGTTCCGGTCCAAACCGGTCCGACTGAACCGGTACCCACCCCTAGTGACTACATAATGTTTGTGACTTGCAAGTAGCGTTCAGGCATGGATTTGCAATAAAGGTCTTCTTGTCTGCCCTGTGACCTCCAGGTTGCTGGTGACACCATTGTCACCCACAAGAAGGAGTCCAAGCACACCGATAAGGATGGCAGTGTGAGTTACGTCAGCGAGGTGGATAAGAAACAGGGCGGGGGTCACAGCTACAGTGTCGTGAAGGTCTACGAGAACAACAAGGACTTCCAGGACCTGTTCGGACCTGACGCCGTGCCATCGGTAGGACTTGTGTCTATTCTTCTTCTGTTCTACTGCTTAGGCCACACCAATTCAATTTCTTGGTTAACGGATTCGCCCGCTTCATTTTTTTCTGATTTGCAAATAAAAATAAAAATTCAGAATCAACTGCAAAATGCTCATATTTTGCCCTGAACAGTTGAAAACAGTCCTTTTCATCCTAGTTGTTACAGTTATTCCATCTTTCAATGCAATGGTATCATTAAAAGTTCAAAATTCATTGTTTAAATTTTGAACCAGCCTGGTGTGTTGACTTCATGGCTCCTATCGTACCATTTTGGGCCATAAAAGGATGCCCAGGCCTGTTTTTATTTATTTATTTTTTTTCGCCCGCCCGCTCCATTATTTTTCTAGAAAATCCAAGGAATTAAATTGGTGTGGCCTTAGCCCATAATAACAACAGATTACTAACACTCACAGAATTGTTAGTAACTGTGTGCGAACAAAGGGTAAAAATGGGGATAGACATGTGCAAAACAGGACAGGTACTGTTAGTGCTCAATGTAGTGAAGCCTTTTCATGGCATTTTAATTATGAACTGGGAGAGGACCACACTAAGCTCAAGTTCATTCCACTCTTGGATGGTACAAAAGAAGAACGAGCGCCTGTAATAGTTGTTCCTACATGTAATGGTCTACTACTAGTGATATCAGTGGATGAAAAATCAGCTTTCTGTTACTGATATGAGATCTACTCCTCTTGATGTTTATGGAATTGAAGTTAGAATGAATACTGCTTATTTGCTTTGAAATAGAACATGTTGATGGTGAGCTGGAAAAATTGAGGCATGACTGCAATACAAAAAGGCCATTTTCCTCAGACTGCAAATGTTTGCTACCATGAACATAATTTATAGTAGTTACTAGAGAAGTAACATTTGCAAAGCAAATGCATAACGTTTACCTTCGGACATGGTCTGCTCTGTTAATCCTTACTCAAACACATTCATATACATGTACTACTAGTATATGGTGACAGGAGCAGAGCAGACCATGAAATTGCAACATTATGTAACCCAACACCAGTCACCATGGTGACAGACATCAACAAACCATGTCATTGGTCAGGTCAGAGGTTAGTGTTTGGAGCAGAAGAGGAGGAAGAAACTGAGTGAAAACAATATGTTTTCCTTCGGTAAACATAAATATACACAGGGAGCTAATGAAAACACAGATGTGAGCACCATGTTTATGCATGTTCTCCTGTGTCTGTCCACAGCCGACTCCGATGCCTGAGCTCCCAGAAGACGAGGCAGTTCCTGAGGAGGATATCCCTGAGGACCCCCTCCCTGACACCGAGGGGGACACCACAGCTGAAGAGGATGAACTGGACCCTGCCTTGTTCGGCCCTGATGCCATCCCATCGGTAAAACTCCATTCTTCCTCCTTTCTTCTTGTTCTAGTCTTTATATTCCTTCAGGATCTTACAAAGCTCTTCTGAATCAGTATCTTGTATGAAATATGAAGAAGATACTAGTAATCATAGTAGGCCATATTTATGTTCTCTAAGTTTGCTTTTTTTTATTCAGCATTTATGATCAATACATACCTAGTTTTGAAAACATTTTCCAGTATGATCTCGCCATCTGATTGGTTGTAATGTTGTCTCTATCTGATTGGTTGTGATGTTGCTCCCACATCTGATTGGTTGTGACGTTTTCACCCTCTGATTGGTTGTGATGTCTCCCCTCTGATTGGTTGTGATGTTCCCATGTCTGATTGGTTGTGATATTGTCACCTTCTGATTGGTTGTGATGTTGTCACAGTCTGATTGGTTGTGATGTTTTTCCCATATCTGATTGGTTGTGATGTTGTCTAAATCTGATTGGTTGTGATGTTGTCACTCTCTGATTGGTTGTGATGTTGTCACTGTCTGATTGGTTGTGATGTTGTCACTGTCTGATTGGTTGTGATGTTGTCACTCTGATTGGTTGTGATGTTGAGACCCTCTGATTGGTTATGATGTAGTCACTCTGATTGGTTATGATGTAGTCACCCTCTGATTAATTGTCATGTTGTTCCTATATCTAATTGTTTGTGATGTTTTCCCATACCTAGTTGGTTGTGATGTTGTTCCTTTATCTTATTGGTTGTGATATTTTCCCCCCAGCCCACTCCTATGCCTGGTCTCCCCATGGAGGAAGAAATCGCCAACAGCATCCAGGAGAACCCAGATGATGGCCATGATGATGATGATGAGCCTGCAGCTGAGGAGGAGGAACAGCTCAACAGGGCACTCTTCTTCGAGCCAGCCGACGATGAAGCTCGCAAGTCCATGTTCGACCTGATTTAAACAGATTCTCCATTCTTTGTACTGCAAAAATTTCTCAGTGAAGCTTTTAGAAAAGTTTATTTTCCAAATTTAGGAAAGGAATCATTGTCTCTGCTAGAAAACAATTAAACAGATTCTCCATTCTTTTATAATATACTGCACAAATTTCTCAGTGAAGCTCTTAGGAATTTTTTTTTCAAAGGAAAGGAATTATTGTCTCTGCTAGAAAACTATTCAACAGATTCTCCATTCTTTATACTGCAAAGATTTCTCAGTAAAGCTCTTAGAAATGCTTATTTTCTAAAGGAAAGGAATTATTGTCTGTGCTAGAAAAGTATTAAACAGATTCTCCATTCTTTATACTGCAAAAATTTCTCGGTGAAGCTCTTAGAAATGCTTATTTTCCAAAGGAAAGGAATTATTGTCTCTGCTTGAAAACTTGTTAACAGATTCTCCATTCTTTATACTGCAAAAATTTCTCGGTGAGGCTCTTAGAAATGTTTATTTTCCAAATAAAAAGGAATTATTGTCTCTGCTAGAAAACTATTAAACAGATTCTTCATTCTTTATATTGCAAAAGTTTCTCGGTGAAGCTATTAGAAATGTTTATTTTCCAAAGGAAAGGAATTATTGTCTATTCTAGAAAACTCTATATAATATAAACTGTGTGACGTTTAAGGTGGTGCAATGTACTAAAGTATAACTTTACTGTAGAGAACTTATGGTTTGCTATTGCTGCTAGAGTCTTATGTATCAATCCTCTACAAAAAATGTTACTGTCTTCATGTCTTAAAGTCATCCAGTGCAGTTTTCAGGGCTTGGAAACCCAATTTTTCAAAGCCAATATTCTAGTCATTTATCTACATGCTGAGTTGAAACCATACAGTCCTATAATGTATATTGGCCCTCATGGAGCAAAAATACCCAAAATTCTAATGAAAAATGGTTACTGAAAGGGCCCTGGGCTAATTTTTAGGGTACCACCTGGAAAATAAAGGACTCATCTTGGGGCTTGTTTCTGCAGTTTTAAAAGCCCAAAAGTATGAAATGCTGATTCCAATGATTGCCTTATTTACAATATTTCCAGTTTTGCTGCCCTGAAATCACATTGGATACCTTTAAACCTGTTTCACAATGCAACAATATCAGAACTTATTGTATAGTATGAATGTTGTGTAGTTTCCTATACTGTATGCATGTAACCCAAGTAACAACTTTTCTAGTCTACAATTTAGTATGTCACATGGAAACATTAAACGACTAGTACTGGTTCTCAACATAGAATACAAAACTCTTGTTTCAGTATCAATGGTAACATTTTTACACTCTATTGAAGTGAATTCTGTGCAACAACACCCCTGCAATATAGATGTATTTTTTACTTTATGAAACTTCATACTAAGTTATTCAGAAAGGTGGTAGGGATATCTGTACATCTTTCTTCGCAATAAAAGGTCTTTGAAAATCTTTGTTCATGTTTTTTTTCTCCTGTTACGGTATATTAATATATGATGCTGTAAAATTTTGTTGAGGTGTAAAATTTGATCTACTGATACACTGTAGGTCAGAAAGAAAGCTAGTTGTTCTATTTCAGAGAAAACGACATAGCAAACTAACTTCTATATATCTGTTTTCTTTCAAGATTCCTACATTTTCAAATTTTGAGATCATATTCATAAAGCTTGTTAAACAAGAAATGATACCAATATTGAGCTGCCAACTATTACAACATTCATTTCTCACTGAAACAACTTTGAAGAATGTTTGAAGTTTAAACTTTTGGTCCAACCCAAAAATTCACCTAGAGCTTTCGACCAGTCACTCTGGTCTTCCTCAGTACACTGACCCAGTGAGGCTTGTCATGTGGCTTCTTTGAAGTGCGACGTCAACACTGGATCAAAGGTATCTGGTAGACAATGTTGGACCAAAAGTTTTAACTTCAAACATGTAACTACCAACACATATGAACTTTCATGATAGTATAACTTGACAGCCACTATAGTATAACTTTGAAAAATGTTTTCAATCATCGTACAACATTGGTTTTGATTCAGTGAGAACATCACATATACACAGCTAGCCACTATCGCATACGTAAGGGAATGAAAAACATTGCAGCATCAAAGTAAAAGACAAAACATTAAATCAGAGCCTTGTATTGTCTCCCCTCTTCATATTTATCTGCCATCCACGTTCTTGCATGGCAACAGACATCTTAGCCTAGCCTCTACCAGGCACCGCGGATTGCTGGAAAAATAGTAGAAATTGGCCGAAATAAAGGGATAGTATACCAGAGAAGATCCAGGGCCATATAGAAGCTCCAATTTGCAACCTGATCTAGTCTCTTTCTCCTAGGAGGAGGACCTTAAGAAGATCTGAGAAGGGCAAACATCCCCTGGTAGGAGGCTGAGACAGTAGCTGCAGACAAAAGGAAGTTGAAGCTTGCTGCCTGATGTGCCATCAGATACAGGAGGAACTAAGGTCTAAGGTAAGGTCTAGTTTGTTTGTACGAATAATAGGGGGATTAATTTGATATCTTTAGAAGCTAGCGACCCCGCACAGGCTCCTTGGGTCGCAAATTGTATCTTCTATGGCCCGGGATCTTCTCTGGTATACTATCCCTTTATTTCCGCCAATTTCTACCATTTTCTCAGCCATCTGCGGTGCCTGGTAGAGGCTAATCTTTGCCAATTTTTAACATTTGTCACCACTGTCAGAGGGCAACAATCTTTTTTTTTCTCCAAAACACAGGCAAAAAGTAATGCGCGCGTTGATGTCATCCATAAGAAAAATTTGCTTTGGCCTTATAATTATTCAAATTATTGGCTGAGGACTAACAGGTGGGAACTTCCCATGAGGCCATGCGCACTCAGAAGTTCCAAGATGGCGGCTGAACATGGAGCGGGAGAAACTTGTCCTAAAACTTCGTCCCTGGAAGACGAAAAACGTCTGTTTTAGCTGGTGAGTAGTGCGTAACTTTGTTCTCTGTATCCTTGTGACCACTTTGGAACAGTCTTGCCCGGAAAGACGCCGTAACAACACAGAAATATGACCGAGTTCTTGACCATGTGGTGTGGCATACACGAGGGCGCATAAATTAAAATATGCTAATAGCGCTTTGTGACTACTCTCCAAGCAGAGGTTTGGGTTTTGGGTTATTTTTGGCGCATTTTTTAAGACTTTCATATCGGGGTTTCTTTTTTGAACTGGAATTTTTCTTTCACCCAACTCCTTACCTGTATAACAATAATTTTTCAGTGTTCAACAGTTTTTTGTTGTTGCGATGCTGCATGTATTTACAGCCTCTTTGATTTTAATACATTTGCTTTTTACAGGAATTCAGAATGTTGTCAAACTCTGTTGTTTTCCTATAATGTTATCTCAAAATGACTTGTGTTTGATAGTTGTTGTGTTTGAAATGCGTTTCATGTGTTGTTACTGTTTTAGACTGTGGTACATTGTATTTCAATTTTCATGCCTGCTTCAGATGCTGCATATTAGTTGGATGATAGTATTTCTTTTTGTAGCTCAATGTTCTGTCAACATGTGTGTTAACTTGTCATATGGATTGTTTTGATGTGATATGTTATGTGAGATGAATTTTTATGTGATTGTTGTTTGGTCATGATACTCCGATCCCTCAGGGCTCGAAATGTGCATGTGCACCTTAGTGCACCCAAATTGGGAGCTGTGCACCCAATTATTTTCTATGGGTGTACCAGTGCACCCAAATATTTCGTAGGCTTATGTATGTAACGTTAAAGATGTTAAATGTATAGTAGTATACAGAAAATTCTTAACATCTAACAAGTGTCAGAAAAATAATAACATTATTGTTATTCTAGTACTTTCCTTTTTAGAAATAAAACATAATTAGTTTTTGGTGACATTCTACTTATTTCATTTTGTAGTTGTGAACCCGAAATATTTTTTGTGCACCTAATTTTTTAGGTTGGGTGCACCTATCCCCAAAAATGAATTTCGAGCCCTGGTCCCTGTTTACATTTGACTGAATGTTAAATAATTTAAACTGTAACTAATGTTGTAAATATGACATTTGTTCCATGATGCATTTTAAGTAATGATGTGTATGTTCACAGTGCATTGATGTACTTTTAGTGTGTAAATTTGGTATGTGATTTGGTCTGAATGTGTATTTCTTTTACACCCTAGGTTTGGGAAGCTGATACTGTGTTCCTGTCCATGCTCCTGTGTGTGCTGTACCTGTCAGCTATCCTGTGTACCTGTACGTTCACATTCCTGGAGGACCTGCCTGTGTTCCTGTCTATATTCCAGGAGGACCTGCCTGTGTTTCTGAGGGACCTGTCATCAGCCACAAGACAAGAGAACATCGGACTTGACTGTGAGTTTACTTTTCTTTATAGAACTCTTTCAAAAATGGGGTCTGCATGCTGCAATGCGTAATTGGTTGTTTAAGTTTTGCATGACGCGAAGCCCGGTCGTTCTATAATGTTAAACGTAATCTTTGCATTATAATAATAATTTATAATGTGTAAAACATCCAGCCAGTAAAAGTGAAGTGTCCATGCTTTGCATAATTTTGCGCGTTTTCATTTCAATTTTGCATAATTCAAAGCGGAACAACTCTGATTTAACAGCACGAATGAAGAGTAAATCGTGGTCGCTGGCTTGTTGAATTTAGCGCAAAGCGTGATCGGGACCTCTCATGCAGACCTCTAAAAATGACAATGAAAGATGTTGAGAAGGGGCATGTTTGCGATCCTCTGAATTTTTAGTTCCTAATACATGTACCATTCGAAAACTAAGCCCTTCCTTCTCTATTTTGTTGTCATTTCTGAAAGAGTTCACATTTTACTAATATCTAGTTTAAGGTTGTGACTAATATTTAATTGCTGCTAGATATGCTGGAGAACACAGTACATTTTCCTATTGAAGAGAGCACTTGCAATATTGTCTGTTGTTTCATTCTGTATAGCAATGGGATATGTTTTCAGAAGCATTTGTGACCAACCTGTTTTCCCTGATATTCTCTTCATCATGATCCACATCCACCCATTTTAAAAACCATTTCTGGAATATAGGTGAAACACAACAACAAAAAAGCAATTTTTAAAAATGTTTATCATGTTGATTAGATTATTTTATATGGATGACATCCTCTGGGACCCCAAAACTGACGCGAGCGTGCAAATTATAAAATGTTTGGCAAAAAAAAAGTTGCATAATGGTTGAACAAATGACTAAAAACACAGAGTATGGTATGGTGAATAATAGACCCTTTATTTTTGATGATGAAGGTTAGACATCCAGGAAATTCCAAAATCATAACCAGTTGCTTGAGTAACTGCTTTTTGGCGTACTCTTTATTTTCATCTCTTCACATTTTCTTCTTTTC